GTGTGTGTGTGTGTGAATCTGGGGTGTGTGCAGGCGTGTGGGTGTACACGTGCGGGTGGGAACCTGGTTTAGCTTCTATGGCATGTGTGCATGTGTGTGTTGCAATCTGCAGGCTGTATGTGTGAACCTGGGTTAGCCCAAAGCCCCCAAGAAGCCTGCCAAAGCAGGAGGCCCCCCCCCCGCGGTGTCACTCCCACCCAGGGCAGAGCCTTCAGGGCTGGAGGTTCCTGAGGGCGCAGGGCGGGCAACCAGCAAGGCCTGGGTTAGCGTCCCAGCCCCGGTGGCACCTCCGGGCGTGGCCTGGGGCTCCCAAACCGCCTGACAGATCTTGTGGAGATGCAATGAGGCTGAGTGATTGTCTCACTCGGATGAGTGCCTGCTATGTCCCCAGGCTGTCGCCACCCGCAGGGCAGCGAGTGGGTGCTCGGGACCCTGCCAACGTCCGCGTGCGCCTGTGCTGCCGCGGCCGCTGGGCTTCCTGTTGTATGTCCCTGGCGGCGACCATGGGGTGCTCCCACCACTGACATTAGCCCCCACTCGGCGCCAGCACGGATCTCGGGTGAGTGCCCTGAACTCCAGGGTCTCGGCGCTGCCCACATGATGCAGAAAGCAAGCATTTTGGAGCAAACTATTCTAAAAAACGGAAAAAGGAGAGGTGAGAAGTCTCTGTCGTTTCTGCCTCGTGCACCCTGCTCCCAGGCCGGCCACAGCGCAGCACCCCCAGCCTTTCCCGCTCCTCCCAGTCCCTGCAGGCGAACAGGGAATACGGCGATGTTCTCCCCCAGACAGCCTGTCCATTTGCTTTGATGAGTATTTAGCCATTTATCAACTACAGTATCCCAAATGTACAAAATAGAGAGAAAGTCCAAGGACCCGTCCACCTTTCACTCAGCAGTGCCGGTTCTGCGGCCCCGCCCCTTGGCAGAGCGTTTGAAAGCAGAGCTCAGCCCTGCACGGGCTGGTGGGCATCTCCCAGCCACAAGGCACCCTCTTCCGTAACTACATGGCACCCTCTTCCATAACCAAGTGCCACCCTCCACCCTGGTTCTGCACTGGGTGGGCAATACACAGAGGCCTTCACGGAGGCAGGGGGCCCTGTCCTAGCTCTCCGGTGCTGCCCTAACAGAAATGCGACGAGGAGGTGGCTTTAACTAACAAATGTGCTTTCTTGCAGTTCAGTAGGCTGGAGGTCCCGGTTCAAGGCACGGGCTCTGGGGGCTGTGGGGGCTCTGGGGAGAGCCCTTGTTTTTTTTGGCTTTTGATCCTCTGTTCCCTGGTGACTGCGGATCATGGCATCTCTTATCATCTGTGCTTCTTGCTCGCGTCTTCCCTAATCTGCTCTTTTTAAGTCTCAAAAGTGGTTGGTTTAAAACATACCCTACACTGATAGGACCTCATTCACCCAACAGAGGAAACCCCGCTCCCAGATGGGATGACAGCTCCAGGATAGGGGTTGGGATTTACAACACATACCATGGGGGGCACAATTCTATGCTGCAAGAAGATTGTGGGTGGGGTGTGGGCAGGATGGTCTGGGAGGGGAGGGGCAAGGGGGCCGGTTCCCAATGCCCTGGTTAAGGTGCGGGTGATGGGGTTGATGTCTGGGAGCAGCGGGCACCAGGTTGGAGGGGAGGAGGGCCACTGGGAGAATCTCGGGGGGACCACTGCCCAGCCTGAAATGTGGATGGATATGTGTCTGCAGTGTGAAGGTAAGGAGGTGCCACTGTCTGTGCCCACAGGCCCTGTAGCGAGAGAGGAACCCCAATGACCACACTCCCTCTCAGGAGAGTGGGCCGATGTTGACCACTTTACCCCAGATGACTGAAGAAGAGCAGATGCCTTTGAATGAGATGATGATGAAGAATAGTGACTATGCCATGCACTGCCAGGGGAACAGACAGATCTGTCTCGCAAGAAGTCCAGTCAGAATGGTCCTTAGAAGGGAGGATGGTGAGACTGTCCCACATGGTTCGGACATGTCCTCAGGAGGGACTTGGCCCTGGAGAAGGACCTCATGCTTGGTAAAGGGTCAATGAAAAAAAGAGGGAAGCTCCCTAATGAGATGGACTGATAGAGCGGCTGCAACAATGGGCTGAGGCATAGCAAGGATCACAAGGTATAGCAAGGATCCTGGGTGCACCCAACAGTGTTTTGTTCTGTTGTACACAGGGTTGCTGCAAGTCGGAACCAACTCTGTGGCACCTAACAGCACTGCCAGCCCCAGACGGTACCCCTCTGCAGATGCCTGGGCTCAGAGGACCAGCATCCATCCCTTCCCAATTCAGAAATTAGCATGGCAATGCTGGAAGGCCCTCAAAGACCTTGGAGTCTAACACCCCTCTTGCTATGGATCGGGGAACTGAGGCCCAGAGAAGGGCGACAAGTTACAAAGAGTCAGAGCAGAACTTAGTTTAGAATCCAGGTCTCCGACTTTCAGCCTAGATTTGTTGTTGTTGTTAGGTGCCATCACATTGACTCCAACTCATAGCAACCTATGTACAACAGAATGAAACACTGCCTGGTCCTGTGCCGGCCTCATAATACTTGCTATATCTGAGCCCATCCTTGCAGCCACTGTGTCAATCCATTTCGTTGAGGGCCTTCCATTTTTTAATTGACCCTCCACTTTACCAAGCATGATATCCTTCTCTATGGAACACCCCTTTCTAACAACAGACCAAAGTAGCTGAGATGAAGCCTGGCCATTCTCCCTTCCAGGAAGCATTCTAGCTGCAATTCTACCAGGACAGATTTGCTTGGCCTTCTGGCAGTCCATGGTACTTTCAGTATCCTTCACCAACACCACAACTCAAAAGCATCAACTCTTCTTCAGTCTTCCTTATTCATTGTCCAGCTCTCACATGCATATGAGGCGGTTGAAAATACCATGGCTTGGGTTACGCACACCTTAGTCTTCAAAGAGATATCCTTGCTCTTCAGCACTTTAAAGAGGTCTTTTGCAGCAGATTTGCCCAGTGCAATACATCATCTGATGTCTTGACTGCTGCTTCCATTGGTGTTGATTATGGAAACAAGTAATATGAAGACTTTGACAACTTTTATCTTTTCTCCATTTATTGTGATGCTGCTTATAGGTTAGGTGCAGTTGTCAGGATTTTATTATTATTATTATTGAGATGTAATCCATAATGCAGACTGTATTCTTCAATCTTCATCAGTAAGTGCTTCAAATCATTGTGACTTTCAGAATCAAGGTGGTGTTGTCAGCGTATCACAGGTTGTTAATGAGTCTTCCTCCAATCCTGATGCCATGCTGTTTTTCATATAGTCCAGCTTCTCAGATTATTTGCTCAGTGTACAGATTGAACCAGTATTATGAAAGGATACAACCCTGATGCACTCCCTTCCTGATTTTATACCATGCAGTATCCCCTGGTTCTGTTCAAATGACAGCCTTCTGGTCCATGTACAAGTTCCTCATGAGTACAATTAAGTGTTCTGGAGTTCCCATTCTTCTCAATGTTATCCATAATTTGTTATGATCCACACAATCAAATGCTTTTGCATAGTCAATGAAACACAATAAACATCTTTCTGGTATTGTTCGCTTTCAGCCAAGATCCATCTGACATCAGCAATGACATCCCTCATTCCACGTCCTCTTCTGAATCCAGCTTGCACCTCTGGAAGTTCTGTCATTATACTGCTGCAACTGTTTTTGAATGATCTTCAGTAAGATTTTACTTACGTGTGATATTAATGATATTGTTTGATAATTTAGTAGAAAAATATGGCCTTGGTGATAGAAATAATGCTGGCGATCACCACAGAATTTTGCAAGACCAACGACTTATCTAGATGTCTCGTTGTTGTTGTTGTTATGTGCCGTCAAGTCGGACCCGACTCATAGCGACTCCTCCTTGGGTTTCTGAGGCATTATCACTACGGAAGTAGATTGCCCTATCTTCCTTAAGAGGAGTGGCTGGTGGGTTTGAACTGCCAGCCTTCTGGTTAGCAATCAAGTGCCTTAGGCACTATGCTACCAGAGCTCCTTAGATGTCTCATTACCTAGAGCTAAAGAGCTTTGTGACACTTGCCCAAGCAGGGCACAGGGTGAGCTGAGGGACCAAGAGGGTAAGGGCAGAGGGCCGGAGAGAGGCCTGCCTGCGGGCACAGCTGAGCAGTGGCTGTCCTGTTTGAAGAACTGTATCTTGAGTTAATCCTGAGCCTACATTATAACCTGCTACTTCCCTAGTAAAGCTCATAACCCTCAGTACTATCTGTGAGGTATGTGTGGCCACTAAAATGAATTCTAGAACCCAGCAGAGAAGCGGAGAGTGCCGTGGGAGGGATGGCCGGAGTCAGCTTGGTAAAAAGGCTGGAGGCTGGAGGCCTGTGTGACCTCTGCCTCATAGGAATCCGCCTTGGGCTGTTGCTGCTGATAAGCTCTGCCCCCTTGTGAGGTTAGACAGGAGGTCAGTGGATGCTACTGCCACGCATTCCACAGCCACACATTCCTGTCCTGTTGTCTGTCTCTCCTTCCTTTGTTGTTCCAGGCAAGGAGAGACCAACTGTTGTGCTTGGATGGCTGCTTGCAGGCGTTTAAGACCCCAGGCACTACACAGCCAACTAGGAGGCAGAACAGAAGCACTAAACCTGTTATTAGGCCAATTAACTGGGATGGCCCATGAAACCATGACCCTAAACCTCCAAACCAAGAAACCAAATCCCAGGAGTTTGGGGCTGTACATCAACATCTAGGCTATAATCTTTATGGGAGCTGATCTTTCTCCCACAGAGCTGCTGGGGGAGTTCAAACCACCAAACTTTTGGTGAGCAGCTTAGCCACTGTGCCACCAGGGCGCTACGATTTGTTATCTCCCACCGTAGAGATAAGCAAATGGAGGCACTGAGAGATGGGGCTGGCTAGGATCACACTGCAGGGGTGCGGCAGAGGGAGGCCCGGCCAGGTCTGCCTAACTGGAAAGTCCACGCTCTCAACCACTAACACCCCCCCCACCGTGGCCTCCGAACGGCAGGTGTGGCTCCCCACGAAGGGACCACACAGCAGCCGAGGCCGGCGGTAGCTCTGGGATCTCCTCCCGCTCAGCGGCAGCCTCCAGCCTCTCAGAACGGCAGGCAGGCAGCACCTGCCAGCATCCCCAAGGAGCTGAGCACTTCCGCAGGTAGGCGCCTTCGGAGTTTGGCGCCGTAAGAGCTCTCCGAGGCCTGGCCTGAGTGGCAACTGAAGCCTCCTACGGTGTCATCATCCCTGCGGGGGTCGAGGTGGGGTTGAGGGCACGGAAAGCATGCCCGCTCATGGTCTGCTCTAGGCCGGGGCAGCTCTGGAGGCGCAAACAGTCCATGCGCGTGGCTGCTGACCCAGGGTCCGGTGGGCGGACCACGCGCACGGACCCGCGGGGCCCGCGCTCTGGGGTCAGCCCGGGGTCAGGACGCGCGCGCCGCCCCGCGGAGCGCGCCCCGCCCACCGCCATGCCCCCAGCAGCCCGCGTTCGAGTCCTGGCCCTGCGGCCGCCGCTGCGGGACCTGGCCTCCACTCTCCCGTGAGCACGACCGAGGCCTCTGAGAGCCGTCGGTCTGGCGGGCGGTCCCAGCGGGACCTGAGCCCAGCGGGCCGACACCCCGCGGCGAGCGCTTACCCCAGGCGAGAGGCAGCCGCAGCGCCCCGCCCCACAGCGCCGAGAGCGCGGACGCGCACGGCGGGCTCGCACCTGGCCAGGCGAGAGCGAGGTTGGCGGGCGGGACCGAGGAAGCCCCGCCCCCTAGACCTGCCCCCTCCGCCGCCGGGCCAATCGGAAGAGCGGCCGGCCCGTGTGGCGGCGGCGCGCGGGAGGCGGGACTGCGGCGGCTGAGGAGAGACCCGGCCTGCGGGCGGCGGGTGCGGCGGTCGAGGCTCGGGCTGAGGCGGCGGTGGCGGATTCCTGGG